TGTGTGTGTGTGTGTGTGTGTGTGTGTGTGTGTGTTCAGTATGTTTGAGACCTGTCTTGTGGGGCCCCTTCCCCAAACAGAGAAATATAGTTAACACAAAAACACTCTATTCAGTTGGATAACAGATAATATCTGCAGGAGTTTGTATGACTTTGCAAAAACTCTGTGTGCATGCGTGTGTGTGTGTGTTTGAGTGAGAGGGAGCCTTTGAAGGATTAATTGGACTTTTTGGGAGTACACTTATTCACTTTGTGTAGCGTAGCTTAGCACAAAGACTGAAAGCGGGGGGAAACAGCTAGCCTGGCACACAGTCAACCACGTAATCTGCCATAAAACCACAACTTGTTATTTTTACTCTTTTATATTCTTTGTTCAGAATAAAGAGACGTGATTTAACATCTTTTATTAGGTGTGAGCTTTAGAGCAGTTGGGAGGCAGATGTTAATTTCTGATAGAGCCGGGCTAACAGTTTCCCCCTGATTCATATTTATTGTAAAGACTTCAGAGTATTTCCCAAAATGTTGAACTCTTCCTTTAATATCTGCAAATGTGGATCACATTCTGAGGATCACATCTCTTTTTGCTGTTTGTGAGTCTTCAGTGAACAATGTTGTTCCATGTTGTTTGTTGTCTGAGAGGCAGTTTGGATGTTGCTGTTGTTGTTATTGTTGTTAATGTGCGGGTGTATGCATGAGAATCTTAAATCGTCGGTCACGTATTTTTCTACTTTTTCTGTTGCGGTATTTTCATCCCTGTGATGAATGCAGCTCAGCTGGGGACCACAGAAATATATTTACATTAAGAGAAGATAAAGAAAACCTAATGCAATATATGCAGTCTTGAATTTATTTGTGTTGTTCTTCATGATAGACTCTGGTGCTCTTTTGCTGAAACAGTTCAGTCTTTAAAAACGAACCCTGTCAAAGAAAACCAGTCTCAGAAAAAAAGGCGTGACCTGTTCCTCTGTTCGGAAACACGGTGAAAGATCTTAAAATCTCAAATCAAGACAACGTCACCCTCCGCTCCTTCTGTATTCAACCGATTGTGACGCATGTTTGTATCGTATTGTCTGACTTCTTGGACGTCCTGTATGCCAGCCGTTATTTTGTCTAAAAGCAAAAACTTGTGTTTTCATTGTTGTATGATGACATAGATTTGTTGCTTGCAGTGATTGTTCTTAATCAAAGTGGGGTTAAAAATTGGTAAAACTTGAGTATGTGTTCTGAAAGTCAGTTAGTGGTGACTGTGCTCCTTGTTTACCTTGGACCCAGGTAACTCTTTAATATAAATATATATATATAAACTGTATATGCCTGAATTTTGTGGAGGAGGATGCTTTTCCTCCTGCAATTCATCTTGTTGCAGAGCTGGAAAAATGGCAGCTGGTAAAGCTGCTGCTGAAGTGAAGGGAGCTGGAAATGTGCACAAATTAGAGCAAAAAGTACAATTTGACACAAGCTCATTTGTCAGCACGAGTCCATATAAGAGGGGGAAGTGAAGTGTAAGTGAAGTGGAAACAGGAAGTGAGCGTTAAACTCAAAACTCATCAAAAGAGCATCCTCTGTCAAAAGCTCCTGTCCAAAATTTTAAAGTTTACTATTTAATGTTTACTATGTGTAAAATTTACATTATGTATATATATAATATAATATATAATATATATATACATACATAAACACACACACACATATATATAAACTCTGCAAAGGGTCATTGGTTTTCTCTCTAATGATGATAGCAGTGATATATGGTGTGTGGTCAAATTCAAGCAAACACCAGACTGAAGACTTCCTGTAACGATGATGGCAGTCTGATAAACGAACAGGGGACTTTTTATGGCATGGCCTCTGGTCTACTCAACTCTCAAGAGCACACGGATCCATCCTGAATGAATCCTGACAAAAAAAAAAAAAAAAAAGGGCCGACCCATGCCAGAAAACAACTCCTTCATCTGCAAAGAATTCTTCACCGTTGCTTGGACTGAAGGAGTGTCTGTTTTTTCTTTTCTTTAGTTTGACTCGGATCTGTTTATTCAATGATAGAAGTTCTACTCTAAATGTGAGTTCAATTCAGAAATCAATGTACTGTGTGTAGAAACTGTAGATGTTTGTACGTGCAAGTATGGAATTTGTGGAACAAAATATCAAGGAAAAACAATTCAAAAAAAAAAAATGAAGCGAAAAATCTATTGTGTGTTGTCTTTGTGTTTTGTTGATGAAGACTGAACATCCTCTTGGTAAATTCAGTGTTTATTACTTCTGGCTATTGAGAATATTTTAGTGATGCTAAAAAGGTGCCGTATTTATTTTACGTGAGATTGTTCATCACGCTGGGATTTGCACTTTTGTGCCATTTGCCCAGTTCTATGAAGAAAATGATAAAATCATAATGGAAATAAAACTTGAAATAAAAAAAAAACATCATTGTTTGCATTACAGGGCATGAAATTCAATTCAATGTTCACAGATTTACTCCACACTACTCTATAATGTCAGTAGGCTGTTGTACTTGTACCTTGACCCACTGACTGGAAAGACAGTGGTCTCAAACTCTTGCCCTGTTTCAGCTGAGGTGGTAAATTTTTTTTTTAATGGTATTAGGATCCACTGAGCCTATTCTTTCTTTATATTATCTGTTAATGTTAGTCACGAAACACTTTTAGCTGCTTAACGTTGCGAGAGCATTGATTTCTCAGAGAATTCATGGATCTAGATAAAAGAAACATTTAGGGCTGAGTGAATGTGGTGCGTGATATAATTTACAGTCTTTGGGGTCTTGGAGCTATGAACTCGACCGAGTGCCATTCCAGTGCAAAATGAGGAGGAGTTCACTACTGCAGTGGTTCCCAACCCCCTCTTCAGATGAGCTCACATTTCGTGACCTCTGTCAATATATTTTTTACCTTTAATTTTCACTGGCCACTTATTAACTTGTTGCCATGATCTCCAGTTGCAGTAGCTGGTGCTCCGTTTCTTTTTTGATGAGAACGAATAAAATCACATCTGACAACGTAAACATGCTGCATCAAACCAATTCTAATCTAATGTCCTCTGCTCCTAAACAGTCACTTTGAATATGTATCTGTGAAATAAAAGCAGTAGTCAGTAGTTTCCCCTCAAAAAAAAAGAGAAAGTTTATTATCTTTTAAGTTGCATAAAAGAAAGTTGGGCCCTCTGCTGGTCACATGACGGGGTAACAAGCATAGCGAGCGATGCCACACTGGTTGTGTCTGTTCCGAGCCATCTTGATGTAGCCTTCCTCGCCGTAGTTCACACCCCAACTGAAACATAAAAAAAAAAAAAGTCAAGTAAACAGAGAAACTTACAAACATCCTCAATCATGAGAAACACATTAGAGAGACCTGTTTTTAACCAGCCAGTAGTCATGTACTCCCTCAGTGCCGTAACCCACAGCCAGCACGCCGTGGTTCACATTGCGAGAGCATCTGTGGTCAATGTACACACCTGGTAGTTCACACAAAACAAGCACAGGAAGCAGCTCCGTTTGAAACAAGGGCAATAACTTCAAATCAAACTTGATTAAGCAGCATCATCACCACTCACCGTGACGGTAGAAGACAAATTTCGGCCTGGAAGCATCAATAGCAACAGAGATGGGGCCGATTTTATCCAAAGCTGCTTTTAACTGAATCTCATCCCCCTCTGGTAGCAACACAAAGCTGGAGCAGTTAGCAGCTCGATCATGTGGGTTATACCTGCACTGACCTCGCTGCAAAGAAAGACACGTTAAGAGGAATTACTCCGACCAAGTTTAACCACAGTATCTGAGATTTTAAAACGAGCATTGATCGACCATTTGACTCACTCTGCCGACATAGGGGTAGGCTGCTTCAGAATCAATGCCGTGGTTTTTGATGACATACTGGAAGGCATTCGTCATGAAGCCGCCGTTGCACCCGTGGTTGCCGTATTTCACGGAGCAATCCACCAGATTTTGAGGACTGAGGGACGTCAGGACACCTGTGGACTTCTTGAGTTGCCCTTCCAGAGCTCCGACTGCACTGAAGGCCCAGCAAGAACCACAGGAACCCTGGGAATGGACAACATTGTCAGGAATTAGGTGTTGACTCAAGATTTGTTTAAATGTTAGGACCTACCAGGATCTTACCTGCATTTTCACCTCTGTCACCAGGCCTTGTTCCCTCCAGTCCAGTGATTTTGGTAGAGAAGTAGTTACTGAGAAGAAGTCGGCGGAGTCCCTCTCCAGGTCAGAGGGCACGACAGTGCCGGTTAGTGTTTCTGTGATCTCCTCAGTGGTCTACAAAATATTAATGGTCAGTTATTGCTGCGTCTTTGTCAGCGTCTGTCATCAAATCAACTGTAGTCTAGTTACCAGGTCTCCCAAGTGATTCATTGCCAGTTCGTAGGTGTGCAAACCCAGAGATGTCTCCAGGTTATGGATGTTAATCATTTCCAGGTTCTCTTCCCAAACTCGCCTGCGACCCATCTCTTCAATCTGGCACACAGCATAAAAATGCATTGTACAGAAAATGCAATAAAATTAAATTCAGGAATTTCTTTCAGTGAATTAAACAGTTTTATAAACAGATTTATTGGTTAATAATGAACTTCACAACAAAAGTCACTGATCTAACAAAAGAATATATACATGTGACCAGGTTAATGGAAGTCTAAAACATTCACCTGATGAGAATACACTTTGTTGTGTAACTTCTTCCATAGCTCCCAGTGTCCATCGAGTTGTGAATTTATGTCGGCCGCTGCAAATCCACACAGGACGGTGAGGAGCAGGCTCCGAAACATTTCTGGATCTGGGAAAGGAAGATATTTGTAACAGACTGCAGGCCTGCATCATGCTTGTTCGATTGGACCTCTGCAGCAGGACTCCAGGTGAGAACAACCAGCATTTAGTAAACTAAAAATCAATGCATTCAATGGAAAAGTGGTGTTGAAATAAAGAAATGCATGAAAAAGTTGTAAATTACAAAATATTACCAGTTTGCTTACACAACTTCACTAAAAATGTTTGGCTCCGTAAATCTGACACCAGTACTGACCTTAGGCTATTATCAAAATATAAAACTTTAAAAACTGAAAGAACCATTTTCTCACTTTAATGACAGAGACGATAAAACTTACCTGAGCAGGTGACCTTGGAAAAATCTGCACTGAATCCACCAGAGTCTCTATTTATCAACCTCCCACTCACTGCACCTGCAAGTCATTAACCTGGAAATCACTGAGGTATGTGTTTGATTGTGTGTGATTGTGTGTGTTCATCAGTTCATGTGGAGTAAGTTGTGTTTTTGGCCTCCTGGTAAATCTAAGTCTAATATTCACTCTCTTTTTGCTTTATATCTATAAGTGTGTGGAGGTATCCACTCTCTAGTTCCTTACAGAGGCTTCGACAGCATTACAGAAATACTACTTGTAGAATTAGACTACTACTGCTACTTCAAATAATAATACAAGAGTCACTGCTGTGTCTGCTGGTGACACTGCTATTAATAGTACAACACAGCTCCTCCTCCTCCTCCTCTCTTTGTTTAAAAGGAAGAATTACTACCTATGTGAATTTCTGTTCTCAATTAATTCAATACGAATCTGAAGTTTTACAACAATCAAACATGAAAGAGTCAAACCACTGATAGAACCACCGCTCAGAGAAAAACAGTGAGATCTGAGGGGGAATAATGTGATAAATGAGACAAAGTAAGATGGTGACAGCTAAAAGGTATTTTTTATTTTGTTTAGGACAGCATCTGCAATTTAATGGAAAAAAACAGCATTGATCTTGTTTCTGATATTAAATTTAAAAAAAGAATTCTTCTGAGATATGATTCAGGTGACAGGTGTTTTCACAGTGTTGGATAAACTGCAAAGCTGGCGATGCCGCAGAGGTTATTCTTGTTCCTCGCTATTCGGATGAAGCCTTCCTCTCCCCACGCAGTTCCCCAACTGAAACCACAGAGAGACGTCAGATTTGATATTGATCTTACACACGGAGTCACATATTTCTTTTCACATGAGTGAAGGTGGCAGCATTTCAACTATCCAGTCTCAAAAGGCAGCAGTCACCTGTTTTTCACCAGCCAGTAGTCTTGTCCGTTGTCGGTGCCGTAGCCCACAACTAGGACGGCATGATTTATAGACCTCGGGCTGCAGTTCGGGACGTTGTATAAACCTGAAAGATTCATAAGTTTAGTAAAATGGGAAAATGATGAAGTGTCACAAAGGCTCTTGATGTTTGAAGAAATGATTATTTTCTGTGTGGGTCTTCATGAGTGAATGAGGTGTGTGTTGTGTAGTTTTTGTCTATTAAAGATTTAAGAGTTGAGTTCATGCTGTGAACTTATTGTTGTTCACTCCTGACAACTTCCAGTAAAAATAAATTATATTTGGAAAAGAATGGAGAGCCACAGGCCTTCTAAAAATAACCCAAATCATCCTAACTTAAAATACGCAAAACGTCTCAGATGAGAAGGTGCAGGTTGAGAGCTGCTGACCCAGCCTCACCTCCTCTGTACAGGTGGAACGACGGCAACATGGCGTTCACAGCCACAGCGACGGGTCCCACTGATGCCACCGCTTCCTGCAGAGCTCTCTCATCTCCTGATGGAAGGATGTGAAAAGTAGAGCAGGATCCAGCTTTTCCATTCACAGAATAACGACATATCCCGTTCTACAAACAGAGATGAGATGAATGTAATATATCAGATATCATTATTTAAAATACATCTTATTTAACTCTACATCTATAGATAAAACATATAAAACATCACAGTATTACACAGTAAAATATACACATTATTTATGCAACTACATATGATTATGTACAGTGGATTATTATTCACTTTACACATCAAAACAGGTTTCAGCTCTGTAAAAATAACAACTGATAAGAAATGTTAATACCATTTAGTAAAAATACTGCAAGAAAAAAGAGAAGAATCAACAAACAAACAAGTAGAACTAACAAAATCAGAAAAAATAAACATTTCAGGAGGAAATAAAAAGTGGCCCTGGTGCTTTCTGAGGCCAACCTTGTGTTCATAGGGGTAAAATCTCTCGGAGTCGACCCCTCCATTGCGGATGACGTAGCTGTAGGCTTTAGAGATGTATCCTCCTCTGCAGCCATGGTTACCGTCCGTGATGCTGCAGTCCACCAGGTTCTGTGGACTCAGTGGGACGAGGACACCGGTTCGCTTCCTTATTTGCCCCTCGAGAGCCCCCAGAGAGCTGAAGGCCCAGCACGACCCACATAAACCCTTTCAAAGAGAGGAAAACACAATGACCACCTTTCCTATCGGAGGGTTCTCATCAGATCGTGCTCAGATGATTTCTTACTTGGTTCTGGACAGGACTGACCAGGCCCTCCTTCCTCCAGTCCACACTCGGAGGCGTCAATGAGCCGTTCGCTCTCTTTAATGTGTGGTTTTTGAAAAGAACCAGCTCCTCCAGCCTCAAGCCGTTCAGCCTCTCGTTGATCTCCTCGGTTGTCTTAACAGAAAAAAAAGGAACATGTGCTGCATTGCCCCCCCACAAAACCCAGTCCTCCACTGGGTTTTGTGTTGATGTAAATATGTTGTTATCTCTTCATACTTTCCTTCAGCATCAGTGACACCAACAGCAGTCATAGAAATAAACACAACTTCCTTTGATTCTTATCAAGAATGATTCTTATCTAATCTGCCTTCAGGAGAAAGAGCACAGAGCCGACTGCAGCATCAATTTACATTTTTTAAAATTTTGAATCCAATTAATGTCCGGCAATTCATTTATTTTTTTGCTGCACAATCCTGCTGTTGCTTCTGTCAGATTCAATAATAATCCTACTTTAATTGATCACAACACCTTATTTGTCTCCAAGGAAACTGTAACACCTCGTCCTTCGGGATCTTTGACTGGAGGCCAACGCTTGAATGTGTCCAAGTCATTGTTTCCAGTTTCCTGCAGCGTCAACACGTCACACCTACACACCTACACTCTCCTCTCCTCAGGGTCCTGCTGTCTTTAGGCTCATGACACAAAACAACCTCTTTCCAGTACCTTCCAGTGCATCACTGTAAAGGCCCCCCCTCCGTATTTACTCCGCACATTCTCCATTCCCTCACACTTAGACGAGTATTAATCTGAACAAAGAGACGACACTGAAACGTGAGGAAAAATCCTGGCTGCCAATATCATTTTTTTCTCTATTATGTGGAATTGTTTCTTGTACTGTATCTAATTATTTGTTTTATTTGTTTTACTGCATTTTACATACTGTACATAATTGTTATAACGTTTCTCTATTTCTAAAAAATAATAGGGTTAATTTTAACATCTTTATAAAGGAATTTAAATCCATATTTATTTAAATGCTCAGAACAACAATTTTAGATATATATATATATATATATTTGATTTTGTATATGAATGATGAAGTTTGTTGCCTCCTCTCGTGTTCTGTGGGTCACAGCACTGATTGTCCAGATTGGCCCAGCAGCCTATACTGGATTAATTTAATCAGATTGTATAAAGTCAGATTAGAGCTGTTCTATAGATTGAGCTTTAAATTAAGCCTTTAAATTAAGCCCAAATGGTGCAGGTTTAAATGCAGATTAACAGTGTTGCTCTGCCTTGTACCAGTGAAGGTCAATGATTTCACTTCAGGTTGTGAGTCAGTCGTGGTGATACAGTGTGAAGAATCGTGTCTTCTGGCTGAAATGTTTGTCATGAAGTTTGTATCCACCAGAGGTCTCACACACACATTTGTGTTCTGAACAAACTCCTGTTCTGTTATTTGCTGGACGACCATTGTTTGGCTGCAAATTCTTTTATATTGAATATATTAAGTTATGGATTATTAGGTTTCCTTAGTTATATAACATTTGTCCTTTAGCTGTTAGCATAGAGCCATGTGAATGGTCGGATGTGTACAGTAGACAGTAAACCCTGATTATTACCTCCACCATGGAAGTTATGTTTCCACCCGTCTGTTTGATTTGTTTGTTTCTGCAGGATTACGCAAAAACTGCAGAACAGATTTCCATGAAACTTGATGGATGTTTGGGACGTGGGCCAAGAAAATTCAATTTAGACACAGATCCGGACAAAGGGGCAGATACAGGATTTAACCAGACTGTCGGGCCTTGGTTGGAGGTTTGTGCTTTACTGAGATCCCTTCTAGTATTGAAGCAATTATTCAGTTCACTATTGTTAAGTAAAAAGAATAACAGAGCAAAAATAGACAGTTAATTACAATGTTGCAAGGTTGTGCTCGAAAAAAGGTGAAAAATAGAAAAGGTTAAAAGTAGAGTAGTAGAATTAACTAGATTTCACAAATTTTAATTATTGCTCTCTGTCACGATGCAAAACTGAGAAGTTGAAACGGCCTATCGTCAAAACATCAGTATTTGTGCTGGAGCAGATTCGTACCATGTCTGACAGGTGGTTCAGTCCCAAAGTGAAGCTGGGTTTTCCTGCTGAAGCCTCCTGGTTGTGTCTCAGCACCAGGTTCAGGTTCTTCTGCCACACTGCTCTCCTGAAGCAGATCTCCGTCTGAAACAACAGCACTGACTGTGAACTATACTAATCTACCAGGTGAGTTATGTGTCTATATTGATAAAGAAAAGTCCCACCTCGTTGTCATAAACCCTGTGATTTTGGACTTTCCACTCCTCCCATGTTTTATTTAAAGCAGGCGAAGAGTGGCCGAGGACCAGAGAGGCCAAAAGCAACACCACACACAAAATGTGCATCCTGCGGAGGAAGACAGTAAAAGTGATCACTATATGTGAGAGATCACAGTCACACACACTTTGTGAGTTTTAGTAGAGACATGAATTTAAACTCATTCCTTTTATCCACATCCACAGACGTCACATTTTCTGGGAACTTGGGAAAGACCCCTTATAGATGAGCAGGGTTGTAACCAGGATTTTGGACAAAAATACACTTTAAAATGTTTATCTTCTATTGAAGAGTGATTTTATTTCGCATCCTGACAGTTAAATTTAAACTCCCTCATATTGTTAGTGTCAGTATCATCAACTGCTGATTAGCTTCTCTCTAGAGTAGAAACATTCACAAATACACATCAACAGTCATGAAAGACTGCACTATGTACATGCACGGCTCAGCTAACCAAGTCTGAAACCTCCACAATCGTATATTGTCAAAGCTGCTTTACAGTTCAATAAGAATCAGAAACACGCATTGATTCTGCACAACAGACAACACACAATCATTCTTCTCCTCAAACAGGAGGAATCTAAACGTCTCTCACTGCCACACAAACAAGCCAAACAATGTTGGGTCATTACATTAAATAAACAGTTTACCTTGTTGTAGAATAATCAGCCGGTTCTTTAGTCCCAAGAAGAAAGTGCACCCCTCAACAAACGGACAAGAGCACCTTCACACTTTAAAGAGGAAGTGCAATTTTCTTACACAGTGTTTTTCTTTTTTTTTTTTTTCCCCACTGGCTCGTCATGTGAATCTAATTCTCAGCCAGCTGCAGCAGCAGCTCTAAATATCTCTCCAGTCCGAGACGTGCAAGCGACAGAGGTTGAACGATAGAAAAAGGCCAGTAGATAAATGAGACTGCTCGTGGAAGACATGCAAGTGAATGTCAAGAGGAATTATTTAGCAAATGTGAGGATGATTTTGCAAATGAAACAGTGGAAGTGAATCAGATGTTAAATAATTTCAATAATCTGTCAGTTTTCTCAGTTCACAATCAAGCACTTTGACATTTCACTTGGTTAAAGTGAGAAGATTAGTCTGAAAACCTTTTTATCTGGAAATGAGAAAACCACAAGATAAATTGCTACTGCTGCTGCTGCTGCTGCTGCTGCTGCTAATATCACTGTCAGACAGAGGTTGTGATGTGAGTTCAGTCAGTTGAGTAAATGTTCATTCATTTACATTTGTCTCTGATTTCCAATTGAAAAACAGGGAAAATCTCCAAAAACACCATCTACAGGAGGGAAATTCCCAGAGTCCACAGCCGGCATCACTGCGGGGATGATAATACGTCAGGAGGATATTATACAACGTGGAACTTTGATTTGGTGGAGGCCGTATAAATTGGCGTTGTTCTCTGATCTCTCCTCTTCCTGAATCCGGGGTTGGACAGAGTTTCGCTGACGAGCACAGCGTCCCTGAGGTACCAGATGGTGAGTCCCTGACTCAGCAGTGGCCCTTCTTCTGTGGTGATCATGCATCTTTCCTGTCGACACACACTCCTCATATAATCCTGCAGCTAAACACAGAGGCGGGACGTCCCACTCACACACCTGATTGTTTCCATGCTTCTATAATTTCAATTTTTATATTGAATCTGCAGCCAGCGTTTGCTCATCAAAGTGTTTGGAGTATTAACAAGGGGGTGAGCAGACGAAACATAAAATTCACTATCTAATTTGCGTCTGTTATGTTCAAATTATTATTACATAAGTCTTTCTGAGACGTGGGATGATGATCAACCACTTGAAAAAACATTTTTCATGAAATGTCAGCAAATGTTGAATTCATGAAAGATGTTAACGCCCACATCTTCTATTTGAAACTCCACATAGATTCACTGTGAGGCAATTTAGGAAAAGAATCAGCTGATGAGTTCCAAAAACAGCTTTTATCTTTAATCTTTAAGGCGATATGGTAAAAACTAAAATAAAAAATACAGAACATGTACATTATATACACATTTCACTATACAGCTTGTTTAGAAAAGTACTTGAATAATGTTAATTTACTAATCACTAATTGATTATCACTGATCACTGATCAACTGTAGCCTCAGACCCTGTGTCCACTACATTTCGGTTTGCTTTAAATTCACTAACTCATTATCCACAGAGTGATAATTGATTGTTCAATTAGTGTTTTAACCTGCAGCACCAAACAAGGAACAACAAAAAATATATATAGATCACAATCAAACTGTCAAACGGGTACGAAGTAGAGAAAGACAAAAGATAGTATTTTATTCTTTTAAGTGTAAATTCGTGCCCATCTGGTATTGCCCCCTAAATCTCTGCGTTTGGCTGACCTGTGCCTGCCTCCTGTCATCCAGCGCAGAGCGTTGGATGCTGTCCAGGAGCTAGTGCATATAATCCCCCAGCATGCACTTGCGCGTCCAGAGCCAGATTGTTGTTGTTGCCATGAGGACAGCAAAGCAACAGGGGAACTGAGCTGCAGCATCAAAGCGCTTCCAGTTGAAAAATATCACAATGGGAGGATGAGGCGTTATTCTCATGGTGCGTGTGTTTCTCTCACGTTGCGGGTTTCATCTGGATGTTTTTCTGAGGCAGGAAAAAAGTGACATTTGCAAACGTTCTCTTCTGGGTTTTCTTTTAACTAGAAAATTGTGAAACTGGAGCCATCACAATGAGAAGCCCTCCACGTTGAAGAGACGGTGAGTCACAAAACCTGACTTTTCTCCCCTTTTACTTACAAATTGCTGCAATTTTGTGTTTTTTACACAACATAATTTGAGTAAACACAGAGTTCAGGAGCTGTCAGCATCCATCACTCGAGTTTCTTTCATCAGTATCAGTCACATTGATACCCAGGGTCCATTCAAATAACTGCATCAGGACAAATCTGTAAAACAAAGTGTGAGAGGTAATTTCCTCCTGCTTCACTCTGTCCTGTATGTTCGATTACATCTTGAATGTCAGACCAAGTTTCCTCGGCTGCCACAAGTTTCAAAATAAGATGATTTAGGTGTGAAATCACAGGGAGATTTAAATTAAATCAATAATTGTGGCACTAAAACAAATTAGTTTGCAGGGATGAGAAAAAGCACAAAATAGCACTCACTTTTCACATGACTAATATTAAACATTATTAATATTTCTGCATAAAATGTCACATTTATCTGCAGTCAGTCCTCCTGTTGTTCTTCCTGTCTCTGACCACACACGCTCTATAAGTGTTGCATCCTCCTGCACAACAACATGTGAGTGGAGCTGCCAAAGCTGAGGGTGGCATCCCACTAGAAGGTGTTATGTATATTTTTCTTTCTTCTCTCGCTTTCTTGGCAAATTTGTGCGACTCGCTGATATGTGAACAGTACATTTTGTCTGATGAGCTGCTTCATTAGTCATTTCTTTTTACAGACTCACAGTTTGTTTGCTGCCTCAGATTCTTGTTTCCACATAAGAATAAATAAACTGTTTACGGATTTCGTGTGACGTGACCATCACAGGGATTCATTACTTGTGATGATCATGAAATATGTGACGGTTACATTTGAACAGTCACAGTCAACTTTGATGCATTGAAAGAAAAAGCCTGCAGATGGTCAACATCACTGCATTTCAACAAACTAATGCACTGACGTATTTCTGCGTTTGCTGCTTCCTAGTGGTGGGTTTGGAAACTGATTACATAAAATGAGTTGATTGGAGTATTAGTTCCATAAACAGCCGTAATATTAAAATGTCATATTTCTTGATTAATGCTATTATTTTTGCTTTTTCATTCCATATGATTTACTCAGTGTTGACAATATGATAAAAGAAATTTGTGACTATTTTTATTCACTCCAGTTCCTCTAGATCTGAGCATCGTCAAAGTACCTATAAACGTATGGATATCTATTTTTAATCTTGAATTCAAATTTGCTGTACCTTTGCTGTGGTTTGTTTTTATTTGATGTGTTTGAGAAAAATATAACATGTTGAAAAAGGTTGTTATAAAATAATTCAATTTTTGATGTGGCCACATATCAGAAATAAATATGAAAGGTTTTATGTGAAATATGACACTTTTAAATATGAGTCATGGAAATGTTGGTATTGTATTGATCCTTTTCCTCTCCTCAAATGGAAGCTTAATAAATTTGACATAATAATACTTATAATACCCTTTTATTTCTATGGACTCTCTCAAAACGAGAGTTGCAAGGTGCTTCAAATAGAAAAATATAATTGGAAAGATAAATCATGATCACATTCAGAAATGCAGTCAAAAACAGGTAAAAGAACAACATAAAAAAACATTTAAAAAACCCAGAGGAATAATCAATTCTAAATTAAACAAAAATAAACCAAAATGCAATTTGATTCTCTATCAAACCATGATCTAATAAAAGTTTGTGAGAGCACATGAGTGATGTCTAGTCTTAAATGCCACACGTCCTCGTCAGTATGTTGCTTCTACATTATTATGCAGCTAAGTCAAATCTATTTGCCCTGAAAGATGCACAACATAATGAAAAAAGGCTCCTTTAAATCCGCCTACAAACTGCTTTCACTGTAATCACAACATCTGATCAACAAAACATGACATACTGAATGTAACAAATGGGGAAATGGTGCCACTCTGATATTGTAATTTTTCCAAGAGAGGGATGATGTTTGCAGTAATTGTGGACCCGCAGATAATTGAACGTTTAAGTCTGTGTGACGCTTCATTTGGTGCAAGGTTACTCCGTCTCTCTCTTTCTGCTTTCAGACCGCATAAATTAAACAAGAGAGGACAATCTGTCGCGACAACCTGTTCTTGCTTTTTATTTGATTCATTCCCGGCAGAGCTGTCAAGTTGAAATAAAAACCATCCGCAGGACAGCGGCCTCTTGGCTGAGTCCGTCTAATGTAGCATCATTAGAGTTGCATAAAGTTGTATATAAGGAGATAAGCTCTGCTGATTGATTGGTGTTGCTCTTATAGAGGTCAGAGATTTAATTAATGGTGGTTTAGAAGTCTAGAGGTTTATCTTGGTTAAATCACAGCCAGCCAACTTGAGTCTCACAGAACAGCTACACACCCGAATCTTTACTCAAAATGTTCTGTGTGCTTTTCATAAACTAAACTGTGACTTGTTGAAATATAGTGAGGTTGTTTGTACGTCTGTGGTGCCAACAACAACAACAACCATAAAAATAAAGTTCTGTGTTGGCCTTTGTATCAATCATCATCATCATCATCAGCAGCACCATCACCTTCCAACATTTAACCACGTCCTTTCTGTCTTATTTCGTCTCCAGTATTTGTGAGTCTATGAAGACAGGCCCAACATCAGCAGCTGCCTGGTTATGAAAAGCTACTTCCTGTTCGCTAAGAGGTGAGAAAATATCTTTAAATACATAAAACAACATATTTTCCGTTTGTTGTATTATTGTGTTGCAGGAAGTTACAGTTCCCCAACTTTGAATCCCTCCCTCACTCTTTTCTCAGCTGCCTCTCTCTCTCTCACCCACATGCAGGCTCGTCACCAGATGTTCGAGGCGTTTTCTCTCCACAGACGCCTGTGCTGGGGAGTCCTCTACTTGTTGGCAGTTGGAGTGGCAGTGACTTCAGAAACACGCCGGTCGTGTCCACAGTCCTGCCGCTGCGACGCCGAGCTGCTGGAGGTGAACTGCTCTCGTGGCCAACTCAGCACAGTCCCAGACGATCTCTCTCCAGACGCTAAAACACTCAACTTAACTCACAATAACATAAAGACTCTGGTGCATCAGCAGTTCCAGAGTTTGACGCAACTTTTAGATTTGGATTTGAGCGACAATCTTCTTGCAGTAGTTGAACTGGAGGCCTTTCTCGGCCTGCGAAGCCTGCTGGCGCTGCGTCTCGCCCGCAACCGCCTCAAGATCATTCCTGTGGGAGCGTTTGCCGGTTTGCCAAACCTGCAGCTACTGGACATCAGCAGCAATGAGATCCTCGTTCTCCTTGATTTCACTTTCCGTGACTTGGCAGCCCTACAGTGTCTTAAAGCAGCGGATAACGACTTTGTTTTCATCTCTCATCAAGCGTTCGCTGGACTAGTCGGTCTACAGGAGCTGCACCTCGACGGCTGTAACCTCACTGCTGTGCCAACGGAGGCGCTCACACAGCTAGGTGTACTGAGGAGCCTTCGTTTTCACCGCCTGGGCCTCTCCACGCTGCCAAACTATTCTTTCCATCATCTCGTGCGCCTCAAAGAGCTGGCCATTTCTCATTGCCCCTGGTTGGAGACGCTGTCAGGAAACAGCCTCTTTGGCCTAAACCTCTCATCCCTCACTATCACACACTGCAACCTCAGTGCCGTGCCCTACGTCCCTTTGCATCATCTTGTATATCTTGTACACCTCGACCTTTCCTTTAATCCGATCACTTACATTCACGGGAACCTGCTTGGAGACTTGCTGCGGCTCCAGGAGCTCCATCTGGTCGGCGGATCGTTGTTACACATCGGAATTGGAGCATTCAGAGGGCTAAGTCATTTCAAGTTGCTGAATGTATCCAGAAACCTTCTCACCACACTCGAGGCAGGTGCTCTTCAATCAGTGAACAACCTAAAAACTTTGGGACTAGATAATAACCCACTGGCATGCGACTGCCGTTTGCTGTGGGTGGTGCGAAGACGCCTGTACCTGGACTTTGGCGGACAGTCTCCGACTTGCACTACCTCTCTCCAGCTGGAGGCCTGGAATTTCCTGGACTTTTCTGACGCTGAGCTTCCCGGCCTGCTCACCTGTAGCCAGCCGCAGATTCTGAACCGCACACCTCAGGAAGTGAAAGTAGATCAGGGACACACGGTGGTGTTTTACTGCGATGTGGAAGGTGACCCTCTGCCGTCTGTAAGCTGGCTAAACCCACTGCTAAGACCTTTATCGCCTACTGGTAGAATACGGACTCTCTCTAATGGCTCACTGGAGGTTCGCTATGTGCAGCCTCAAGACAGCGGCACTTATCTCTGCGTGGCATCTAATGCGGCAGGAAATGACAGCCTGGCCGTCAGCCTTCGCGTCCGAGCCTTTTCCAACCCCTCTCGTTTTAAAGCTTGGTTTGCCCTCCCGTCTGCCGCTCCTGGTGTGAATGAAAATCAGAAACACCCATTTGATGTCAAGACTTTGCTGATAGCAGCAGCCATTGGGTTTCTTTCATTTTTCAGTTCTGTGAGTGTTTGTTTCATTTTCATGTTCTTCTGGAGTAAAAGCAAAGGCCAAATAAAGCACACGGCCACCATCGCGTATGTGCCACGCAGTGCTGTGTCGAGCAGTAATGGAGGCAAAGGAAATTATATGGAGACAAGTAGGTTTACCATGAAACTGATATGAGTCAATAAAGAAAATTGAAAGGTTTGTCAGCTGTAAAATACTTGACAAGTACTAATTAATCACAGTTGATTTTTAATAGCATTTTAACTTTATAAAAATTATACTTTCATGTATATGTGAGTACATTACCTAATATTTCTGTTGCAAAGTGAAAGAAACACACACCATACAACCCAGCCCTGCTGCTTTCTGCTCTTCCGGGAAAGATAACAACCAAAGTATGCAGAATTAAATATGTACAATGTAGATTTATAAATTAATTTGTTGAAAGCATATTGCAAATATTTCCCTTGTTAAGGTTTATTCATAGAAATGATTTAAGATCTCAGTACAGAAATAGTACAACATTTCATATGCCTTTTCAGTTTTATTGATGTAGATATTGACCAATTTACTGAAATAATTATTGTATGGTAGCTGTGAGATAACAAAAATATAACAGACACCTTATGTTAAGGTTAAGGTGCACAACACTTGCATGTCTGTTCTATTCTAATTTATTTGATTTAAATGTTTTGCTATTATTGACATATTTACTACAGTACTCATTCTTTATTCGGATGTGTGTACTGTATTTTTGTATGTTTTTATTTCCCCAATAAATCACTTCATGTGTCTTCTTTAAAAAAACCCAGCATACAATAAAGTAATTGTGCTTACAGATATGTCATGTTGTAGATTGTGGTGTCGTTATTCATGTGTTCTCGGTTCCAAACTTTACACACACACACAAATTGATTAAATTACACGTAATGAGAGAAAATGTGTGAGACAGTTCGTTTAGTTAATTTTCGTTAAGATAAGATGATGAACAAAAATCATAATTTTCATCACAAAGTGGTTCAGCCAAGTCATGTTGTTGCCATGGTAACACCATCAGCTCAGAGCCAGGCATCAACATCACTAGTTTCCATGACGATAGAACCAAAGGAAGAGCTACGTTGTATTTATATATTTATATTTACGTGAATTAAGTAACGCTTTGTAAATGTATATTAGTCAAAACAACTTTAACAAGTTGTGTTTTTAAGTCAAAATTAATAAAACTTAAATGAAGAGCAATTTTATCTTGAAAACCCTTTTTTTAACCGTAAGCCGGAAGTGCATCATCTGCCCCGGAAGTGTTTCGGAAGCGGCTAGTGGCGGCTAGCACTAGCTTTGTATGTAGCTGAGACCACAACAACATTTTCTATCGTATTAGTACGAACTTGAAGAGGATTTAACAGCTATAAAACACGAGTGATTCCATGTAATCATTCACCACAGTTAGTGACGACGAAGTAATATAACCCCCCCCCCCGTAGTTTATACCAGTTAGCACGACGCTAGCTAACAGATTAATACCCGAAGGTAAGAAATCAGCAGCCATGACTCTGGTTGTCGATCGGGAACCAAGAAAGACTGCGGGCAACCGCATGTCCAAACTACTGGACGCAGAGGAAGAGGACGAGTTCTACAAGACCACTTATGGAGGCTTCAACGACGTGAGTGACCAAGTGCATTCACAAAGAGGGAGCTGATGTGTTAGCTTTAGCATCCAGTCAGCCTGCTGGAGGTTTTCACTGTAGCATAAAGGGAGACGTTGTTAAAAATGAGTCTTTATCAGGTTGTAATTGACTTTAAATTCAAATTTACTTTATTATTCCGTCAGGAAATAACCTGACAGATGTAACAAGTGGTGAGAGGGTTAAGACATGTATGCATGTGCTTAGCTAAGATTGTTTTTAAGGATATTATTGGAAGAATATTATTGTTATTTGCAGACAGACTAATCATTTATTTACAGTCACAATTCGAAACATGTAAACAACTGTGCAGGTCAATAGTGAATATTTAATGCTTGTTAAATATTGTGATTAGATGAAGCAATTCATTTGTTTGAGAGAGGCACAGTGAGGTGTTTAGTCTCCTTAAAGAGTCAACAGATGTAATCCCGACATCTTCTGAATATATGATGTATTTTTAGCTATGTGCATGTTATAACCTGGCAGCTGAGAGTAAGTTAGTGTATCTCTGTAAGTCTCTGCAAGTTATTCCAGTTTGAATGTGTATGCGATAATATCTGCTTAATCCTACATCTTAGAATATAATACTTAACTCAGTATTAAAAAAAAAAAAAAAAGCTCTTGTCTGTCTGCTGGATTTTGAGAATGGGACAAATGAATCTGAATTGTAAGAATTAACCTTTCTATTAATCTTATTTCATAACTTAACCTCTAAATTGGCTTTAATTTTATGTGTCCTTTTAGGAATCAGGAGATGATGAATACCATGGAGAACATTCAGACACAGAGGACGAGGTGGACAGTGACTTTGACATCGATGAAGGAGACGAGCCAGACAGCGACCAGGAGGAGGACGCTCCTCGGCGGAAAAGTCGAGTTGTCACTAAGGCTTATAAGGTAACGTCGTTTCAGCAGCTGTCAGACTCTGAATCAAGTCCCTGCATTAGGACATGAATTTAGATGAGACCTTTTGAATGACAAAGCATTATTAATGACTTTCTTTTGTTCCTTACATAGACATGGAAACTCTAAAACCAAATCTATAAGCATTTAGTTGGCAGCTTGTTTGTTCTGTGCGTTATCTTGTGACTTATTTTTCTCAGCATATGTGTTCTTTTGTTTATTTTCATACTAGTTCACACATGAACCACTTATAACTGCTTTTTACTGTGGCTGCTCTGCAACCACTAGCACGTGCAGCAATTAGCTGCCAAATGCTATTCTTTCAACTGAAGCCAAGGGAGCCGAAGGATAATTGATTTAGTTTTGCCACCACACTTCTGAATTAGATCACATTATGTGCACAAGAATTTCTAACTTGCTGTTGAGAAAGTTTGGACTTACTTTGCTGATTTGTCATACATGTACAAAACAGATGGCTTATGTATTTGTTTAACTCAAGGAACCTATAAAGGTGGCAAAACCCAAACCCAAAAGACCCTCTGAGGAGCTGAAGAAGACTGAGAAAACTAAAGTGGAGCTAAAAAGGAGGATTCCACAAGAATACCAAGATTTCAGTGAAAGTAAGCTTCCTACACAAAAACAACATTTTCAGATACTTCCCCATAAACCCAATTCTTCATCTCTGGTTTTGTTTGAGCTGTATGACTTAATTCTTTCTTAGCTCGGAAGTCTGTGCGACAGTCCACCAGTGAACATACCAGAAAGACCAACCTGCGCTTGCAGGAGCGCCAGGACGCCCCTCGGAGGAGGAGAGGTGCTCATCGTGACCGGCCCCTTACCCAGGAGGAGCTGCTGGCTGAGGCCAAGATCACAGCTGAGATCAACATTCGATCTTTAGGTAAGAACATGTTAGTAAAAGAAATTAAAAGCAAAGGGAGAACAGATGTCACCAACTTTATTCTGAATCTTAATGAATCCATGTAGCCAATCTGTCAAGAAACAAAGTAAATGTGATGTAATGATTAGTACACGAGTCATACAATACGTCTGCAGTATGGATGTGTCTGTTTATTCTACTTTCTGCATGTAGAGAATTATGAGCGTCTGGAGGCTGACAAGAAGAAACAAGTCCACAAGAAGCGGCGTTTCGAGGGGCCGACCATCCGCTACCACTCAGTCCTGATGCCCCTCGTCTCTCACTCAGTCCTGAAAGAGGAAAATGTGGATGTTGAAGGGTACGTATGAGTTCATGAGAGACTGAGATTACTTGAAACATAAATATGCAGAAAGTTTTCTAGTTCTACACTTTTATAAAATGTAAATCATCATATATGTTAGTAGCTCGTTGGTATCTTTTGACAGTAGTGCAATTTTTCAATTTGCCATTTTTCTTAGGTTGGATCAAGATGTTCCTCAGACTGCACCACAGAACCCCACTACACCGGCCCAGCAGGCTTCCGGAGGCTTGTGCTCCCGTACCTACATAACCTTCAGTGACGACGAGGCTTTCGAGGCGGCCTTCCCTCGCAGCGCACAGTCTAGTCCTCAGCTGCCCATCCAGGAGGTTTGTCCTGTCACCCACAAGGCTGCACTGTACCGAGACCCAGTCACTGACATACCCTACGCTAACACACGGGCTTTCCGCATCATCCGGGAAGCGTACCGCAAGTACGTGGCTGCTCATGGATTTCCAAACACTGGGACGGGACTTGACTCCTCAGCGTCTAAGGGTGCTCGTCAGAAAATGCTTGTCAAACAGAGTGCGGTTGCAACATAGGTTGGTTTCGTAAGGAGTTTAGGAAATCGGTTTGTTCAGGTACAGTCACTGGATTGTGTGACATGAGGGAGAAATCATTAGCATTTGACATCTTTGGACCAAGGAGTCATTGTGATGGTTGCGTTACAGGTGCTGAAATAATGAATGGGAATATTTTGCAGATATTTTTACTCAGTACAGCAGCACAATGAAAAACCAACATTGCCAGAGCAACCTATTCCCTCAAAGTGCAGGAACAGTCTTACTTGTGATATCTCTGTGAGTTTGTTTTCGTAAAATCCAGACTGAGCGCATGAAGACCTACAACTTGCTTTGGAATTCAAACAATGTTTACGTCTGCACTTTGGCAGCTTTGATTTTTTTAAAATAATGATTTTCCTTTTTTTACTGTTCAGATTTTTTGTTTCTACAAATGTACATACGTCTCAACTAAAAAAATAAATATTTGAAACTTTGAATAATTTATATTTACTCTCTCTATGAACTCTGGGTTATAACACATTCCATGAGCATCAAACACTGAAACATCCGTTAGACTGAAATGACTTAGACAACAATGAACTGAAATAAACTGCAATGCAATCAAAATACTACAGAGCTTAATATTTTCAAAACCCATCAATGAGATCACAGGAGATACAAGGCATTCAAATCTATAAATACTCCCATCCATTTCTCATTGCTTTCATATTTAAAGGAGGTTTTGAAACATAGAAGAATGGTTTGTTTTTGACAAATAATGCTGTTATTAAGGTTTGAAGGTGTTTTCTTTCTGTTCATCGCTAATTGTCAAAATTGTTTGAGCCAGGACCTTCCGTTAGTATTAATTTATTCTCTCAGGGTACATTCACTAAGAAACAGACTCACGCTGACCTTGAAGAGCATGGGACCTTTTGACCCCCTCGAAAAGGGATCACTCCCCTTCACAGCATCTTGTAGCTTTTGTCCATCTCAGCCTTTCTCAGTTTATATAAAATCCCACAGAGAAACCAAACATAATGTAAAGGTTTTGTCCAACAGCTTTCAGTGTGTGAATCAATCCAGGGTAAAATACACACTTCTAAAATACATTAAAATACCTCCAGTATGTTATAAACATCAAGGTTTGCATTTGAGCAGATGCTCGTGCTTCAGCTGGTCATGTGATCGATGAGGACGACGGCATCGTGGTGAAACTGACCTTGAATTCTTTTCAGGTATCATTCCTGCTGCGTCTGCCTTCATGTCAGTGAAGCCTCCAGCAGATGGTTCAGGCAGAAATTTTCTACCTTTTGCAGGAAGGCTCCCAAATTTCTGATTTGACATTTCTGCCAAAAGGACTGAGCTGCACTCGAGCAGATTTTCTCCTGCCGAGCCAGTAATGTCCTGATGATGTTCAACAGAGCATCTCGTTAAACACTCAGACGCGTCTTCATTCAGTTTTAAGTAACCAGGCCTTCGTGCCTGATATTCTGTAGCTCTTTTATGTCTGCTGGTCCACATTCCTGATCTAAGACCAGCTTCTTTGGATGCTTCATATGTCTTTTAAACCTTCCCTGGTTTGTGGATTTATGGAAAAGAACTGTTAGAAAATGGAAATTTGGAATGAATCTCTTTGACACTATATGTCCATGCTCCATAATAATCTACGCAGGTTTTGAGTATGATGTATTTGCTGCTGACACTTGGAAGTATATCAACCAATAAGATGGTATTTAAATGGCTCCCGGTTCACCTAACAACTATCTTTATACTCTATCAAAAGTATTTTTAAAAAAAGCCTCCGTTAAAGAACTAAATCATTAATCAGACGATTACTGAATATTTTACAGAACAATGCAAAAAAGGTGCACATTTATGTTTAAGTGTCTCATTGTTATATGAGTATTTTTTAAATTCAAGTTCTATATATTTGGTTGAATTTGTGTTTTTTTTTTATTTATAGTTTATAGATTAAACTCTAAAACATTAAACCTCAATTACATTTCTTTGACATAAGAGTTTGATAACGAGATCTTTGGAATCATTGCCAAATGTATATTTGTATGTTGGCTGATACATCAGTGTCAGAAATGTTGTACTCCCCAAATATTGTCACCGTTCCCAAAAAGCCATATGGGTCATGCTCTAGTCAAAAATACTGCATTAGTTCCTCTTAGTATACAAAGATAAAGTATGTTGCTACTTTTATACGAACAGCAAAACCAGCATATGGTAATGATAAGCATATGGTACATAATATATACAGTCATCTTGTTGGAACGCACAAGGATTGTTTTTATATTTCAAAGTGCTCGGGCTGTTGTTGGATGTGTTAATGTGTAGCTGTCACTTAGCTCAGGTGTAGGTAGGCAGTGCATTTATTAAGACACTGATCCACTGAAAGGGAAATGTGAATAATACATTACTTAGACCGCATTTGCATAAAAATGAATATTCTATTATAGTTACCATTTTTACCAAAATTGAGGAGAGGGGGTGCAGATCAAACAAGGTCAGGGCTGAAGATAAAATCTCCATCACCACTCAGTCACATGGTCTCCGTCAAGATGCAAACGCTGCTGGTGATGTGAAGAGCAGAGGCGGACCAGCCATCTGGAAGCTGTCCTGATGGGCAGTCCGACTCCCGACCTCGCTTGCACTGTATGCTGAGTTGACAGCTTTATATACAGTCTGCGTGTGTGACAGACGAGGCTGGCTGTACTTTTGTATTAATCATGAGAATCTGCCTGATGATTCAACAGAGCGACAGAATAAAATCCCCTCACTCAACGCACACAGTTTAGAAATCAGAAAACTCCAGAGTAGAAGGATCGGCCCCTGCAAAGATGGTGAGGGGAGGGTGGGTGACGCAAAGACTCGTTGTCTCATGTAATTTCCCCAGACTTTGATTGTTAAGCAAAATTTGTAATTTAGCACAGGCTGCACGCACAGTTTGTGCCATGTCTTCTTGCACGATTGTTGTCACATAATTTCACAGTAACAGCCCTGTATTCAGCACGCTGAGGTCCTCGCAGTCTGAGGATACAGATTTCAAAGAGCAACACTGCGCAAAAACCACGTGAAAGGGGTTTGCGGAGTTGTTATGGTGTCTCCTTACATTCACACCAGAGAAATTTATTTATTTTTATCGTGCCTTTTCATTTCGATCAACCTCAATGCATCTTTAAAAAAACGCTCGCTGCCCACACACCGAGCCATTTGCTTTGGTGAAGATGGAGACAAAAAAACACATTAATTAAAAAAACAAAAACAAGTTACCCCCTAAAGCGATGATGATGAATTCAGTGTCTGGATAAGCCAACGTCTGCTGGAAACACGAATGAAACGCTCATGAATGAAGTTAGATTATTAAGCTTGTATATTTTTTTAATTGAATATTTCTGAAACACTCCTCACATCATCTGCGCCGACAGAACACTGAGCGCTTTGTCTCCCACATAGTGCACAGTGCATATGGTACCAAATGAACAGTTTTCAGAATAGGAAGAGAGGGAACTGCATTATCACTCGTTCTCGTGTGGTAGTTGCCATGGAGACGAGTGTAGGTGGTGTACTGTGCTGTACTCCTTCCCTTGTCCTCTCCCCTCTTCTGTTGCCCACCCTCTCTGTTCTGCTATCTGCAACATCCGCACAACTTTCATTCCTTCATATTTGTTCAAGTCCTTCCTGCAACATTTGCACTGTTTGCATCGGGCAGTTTTATCCGATCATTACTCACATTAAATATATAATAGGGTGTAATTGAATCGGGGGAAAAAAATCAATACTGGTAGAAAGTTGAGATGGATTGCGAACACTTAAGAAGGTGTTGATTGTAGATTTGAAAGATTTAAATGAGCATTATTTTCCTCATTATTTAAAAATATAAAAGCTAGTTAAATATTCTATGACGGATGAACTTAAATGTTAAATATTTTTCTTATTCTGTGAATGTGTTTCTTGCTCAGCATACAAACTCTAAAACTGTATCTTCTTCATCAGTCTCTTATTTTTGCAGTCCAGCAATTTTTTTTGCAGTTTCCATGGAGATTGTGTGTGTGTGTGTGTGTGTGTGTGTGTGTGTGTGTGTGTGTGTGTGTGNTGTGTGTGTGTGTGTGTGTGTGTGTGTGTGTGTGTGTGTGAATGAGTGAGGTTTGAGAGTGGTTTGAGAGTGGTTTGAGAGTGAAAGAGTGAAAGAGTGGGGATGTGTCATTTCCAGTTTTTATTTACGGGGCATCTTTGAGGACTGCATGTGCCACCCAGTGTCCCAGTTTGACAAACTGTAATAAAACATAATTATTTAGCCTCTTCCCTTGCGATTTGTCAAACCTGCTCATTTTATACCAGGAAGAGAAATGAAATGTGGGAAGAAAAATCACTTAAGTATTTGAGTAACAGCCCCATCACAGTCGGTTTACACAAGAAAGAACACAAATATTTTTTATTTTATTTCAGAATGAACCTATAATGTTTTATTCAAATGACGTGTCCAATTTAGGGATGAATCTCATCATTCCCAATGTCTTCAGCCAATTTAGTATCCACTGTTTGTCCTCATGTTAACGATTTTAGGACAAAAAACTGGGTTACACCTCCTTTATCTGGGATTTATGTAAGTCTGTTTTTATATATGTATATATACATGCCCACGAAATGATCTATGACACATTCAGGATTCAGCAATTAGCAATACACATTTATGCAACATGTTCACAAATAGCAGATATCAAAATAAAAATCCTCTCGACCACAGACATTAGCGTTGCCTCCACACTTCTCCAGCTACATGGACAGTTTTGTCGGACTGGCATTTTCTCAGTGACCAGAATAAAACTGGGTGCAGACTAATAAAATCCAAATGAGTCACACAGACACAGATTTCGTCTGCATTTGGCTATTACGTTTCTTTTCAACAGGAAAAATGTCACTGAGCATCGTTAAGGACAGCCACATTTTTCTTTCAAGGCTGTCTTAAACAATACTCCCATGCCCATGTGCACTGAAAGAGTGTTAGTCTTCCTCCATTAAGTGATGCTCTATGCAGGACTCCAATGTAAGAAATCAAAAATCTACAGTCTAACTAAAAAGGCAAGAGCTAAAAAGACGTGCAGCAATCTGCGTTAGTCAAATCAAGTGTTTATATTCTAACTTTCAACCCTTTTTGTGTTACTGTATATTTACGCAGCACCTTAACAAGAAAACTGTCCACACACACACTTAATTTCTATACTAAAAGGACTACATATATACTTATATGCATTAAACTTTTATTGAGCAAATATATTTATATATGGCAAAAAAGCTGTCACATGCAACTTCTCCTCTAGATGTCACTAAATTCTACACACTGAACCTTTAAGTTTGAAGAGCATATGGAAGGTTATGGTTTAAACTCTTATATGGACAGAAAATGAAATGAAAACACTTGACAAACAGCAAAACATGTAACAAATCTGATTATGTCTAACCTCCTCTCTGTCCACATTGCATAAGCATCAAATCAAGATTTAGAAATGTTCATATATTGTTGTTGATGGAAATTATATTGTGATAAGTATTGATAACCCTCTCCTATAGTGAACCAGGGTCTTTTGCACATTGCAGCTGTTGAGTGTTGTCTCATGAAAACATATTAAATGTTTTTCCTGATGGATCCCAGAAATATTAAATCCATTCCCCACCTCTTCAAAAATGAGTTCACTCTGCAAACTCCATCATTATTGATTAGAAGTGCATCCTCCTCCTCAGGGTGCATTTTACTCACTCTCCACAGTCCAGAAGTAACTTAAGTGAACTTTGCTATGATAATTGCTCGCTGCAGTGGGCGGTGGGTCCGGGCTCATCGGTGCGTTTTTATCTTCGGCTGTCACAGACTCCAGAGCTGGAGCAGCGCAGGGCGGACTCTCTGCTGCCTTCGGAGGCGGTGGTTTCTCTCTGTCTATCTCACGTACTATCTCCGCCCTCCAGGGAGAGACTACTACGTTTACCCAGCGCCTTTTATTCTCCTCCTCCTCCTCCTCCTCCTCTACGCACTGCTGTTAAACGAAGATGAGGTGTGACGGACGGAGAGATCACTGAAGGACGCGCCCGGCTCCAGATACACCTGCCCGGGATGAATTTGTGGATTATCCTGGGGACGTGGTTGCGCCGCGCAGGGTGAAGCACCGACGCTTTCCAAGATTAAATCAGCCGAGATAGAAACAAGGAGCCCCGAAAAAAATTGTGCACGAGACAGATATTGTGGAGATGCCGCACATCTTTGCCATTCCGCCTGTAAATAACCTGTGGGATGTTTATTTTGGATGCGTTTTTGGTTTTAGTGCGCGCACTGTGCTGTAGCTTTGCGCAGAGTTGGCTTCATCTTCACAATTATCCTCATTTTAACATCACTCCTCGCTAATGTGCAGGGGGCTGTGGTTGCAGCCACTCACAATGCGTGTGCTTGGCTTTTAAATGTAAAATTTAAGTGACAGAGGATGAACTAATTGGCTCCGTGGATCATTAGCGCTCCAGCGCCTGACAGGAGCTCCCATCATGGCCAGATACTGAAGCGAAGCAAGGGCCGTTTGAAGTCACATGTGCCCAGAACAAACAAGTAAGATGACAAGAGCCGTCCTCTCAGGAGAGTCTCTTTATTACCGAGGAAGCTGCGTTGGGATCAAATCCGAGTTCCTGGATTGCAACAGAGTTGGAGGGACAGGGAGCAGAGGGAGAGGAGAGGGAGGAGAAGCAGAGGAGAGCTGCTGAGCTGCACCACAGAGATGATGGACAAGCTGTGACTCCAGTGATGGACTGATCTGAAGGTGACACAAAAAAACACGTTTTTCCTTCACACCTGACATGCATGGACACACAGCAGCATAGGTGAGAGGAGCTGCCCGCTTTGAACCCAACAAATCGGCCCAATGATTGAAACACAGCTCCAGGAGGACAACGCTGGCCTTTATCTGGAAACCGTCTCTCAGGTCTGCACAAACTGATTCTACCTTTCGTCCCAGAAAATCAAAAGCAAGTAAAACCTGGAACCTCAGCCCCTTCCCCAAGTGCCCTGGAAACCCACGGGATTCAGTCTGCAACCACAGATGTAACAAGTTGACAAGTTTTCGTCACCAGGGAGTCCTGAGTTTTTGGGTAAGTGTTTGAATCTGAGTTTCAGGCTAGAAAACGTAAACATATTTCAGAGATAAACACCCCACGTCACAGTGAAGCATCAGAGTCAGCTAGCCTGGAGATGTTCATGTTCATGAGGTGTTTAAGCTGGTGGTCCACTTTAGAGCCTCCAGGAGTCGACAGCTCAGGCAGGATGATGTATAACAGCTTTTATTAAGTGTCAAGACAGCTGTTAATAGATTTTTGAAATAGTTTTACTAGTGGATTTTGGAGACGTTCATTTTAAAACAGAAATGTAACCATGGGCTGTTTGACCATTTATGGAGGGTTCCGGCACATGAAGCTCTGATTACGCACCAGGTTCCTTGCAGGATATAAGGCCGTCAGCGTCACACGCTGAATTTGCCCATTACAGAAAATGCATTTTGTGCCCATTTGTAAATGATTTTTTTTATGAATGCAATTTTGTGGCATCCAAAATACCTGAACATTTTCGTCATGCTGCCATTAAATTAGAAAAAAAAGAAAGCTAGCCGAGCGTCATAGTTAATTTTAGAAGTTATGCAGAGTTGCATCTTGTACATAGGTTGATGGATAAGAAATGTCAAGCCTATGATGTCACACTGAGTGTAGACTAAGGAAAGTGACAGGTTCGTGGTCGGCTACTCTGGAATCAGCACAGATTTCTCTGATACCTACAGTTTGCTAACACGCCCCCCATCGCTGTTGTGCATTGAACACCTACACAGACTACAGGGGAGTTTCTGGGAGCTCAGATACGAATAATGAGATATTGAAGAGATTATTCTTTCAGGGTTTATTTAGGGTCTTGAATCACTGGACTTTGTTCTGTTTGTCTATTGAGGAGCAACAGATAAAAGACATCAGCTGGTGTCATGTTTCTTTTGTGTGACCATTTTCTTTCCCCAGCTTCCTCCATCTCAACAGGCAAGATCAGATGCGGCTGATGTTTATACTAGAGCCTGACCGATATATAATATTGACCTATATGAGCCTTTCACATACATATATTTGCTGATATGTGCAAATATGAAAACTTTTATTTTACAGAGTAAACAATTCAGAATACATGTGCATTTGTGTTTATATTGGATAAAGCTTCAATAAAATGTCTTTATCATGAGGGTTTAATAATGACATCTTAGGAATCATTGCCAAATGACTATATATATTAGCTGAGAATTTATTTTACTGCTCAATATCAGTATTGGCATCAGCCCCAAAAATCCAAATTGCTTGTGCTCTAGTCACAGTTATTGCATTTTTCCTCTTTGCCAACATATCAGCTGATAGATCTGTTTATGGGACAGTGATCTTTAATCAACAGACAAAATGAGCCAAGTGGCTTTATAAACTAATTTGAATCCCTTGTGGCTAGAGCCAGTTTTTAACAACCTGAAATACAATATATATACCTCACTTACTTATTACAAATATCTATGGACAATTCATGGGCATTATACGAACAGCAAACCCAAGATTCAAATTCGGTGGCAGAATCGGTATTAGAAATTCTTTACGCCCTTATATCAGTATCAACATCAGCCCCAAATATCCATATCTGTCAGGCTCTAGTTTGGACACTTGATAACAGCAATGACGAAAGGTGTCCACCATCTTCATCATCTATTTAATTGCACTGCTAAGATACTGTGAGTCTCTTTTGTACAGTTCTCTACCTTAAGGAATAAAACTACAGTGCAGAGAGAGGAGCGACACTTAATGAAATGTCTGAGGCTGCACATCTGATGGAACAAGATAAGTCCGGCTCACTCTGACTCATTGCCCCTCGCAGGATTTCCTCGTCCTCCTCCATATGAAATATCCTTCTATGTAGGATAACAACTATCTCATGCATCTCCTCATGGAATGATTTTGTTATTTCAGTCATGGACGTTTATTAATTTTCTGAACTGGTGAGAATCTGGTGTCTTTGCCGCTCTGCCACAGTTGTCAGCCTGCAGCCTGTCAGCTGGCAAGAGCTGATTCTCCTTCAAAACCAAGTTTTCCCTCATAATTCTGCGGCTCTTCAGCCATCTTCAATGAAATGCACAGAGGGGCTTTCTATTGCTGCCAAGGACAGAAAGCCTTTGTCAGTCTGTTTGAATGTTCCCTTAAAAAAAAGAAAACGAAGGGACGCCTGTCAGTGAGCTCCTGGCCCACAGTCCTCTCATATTGCTTTCTTTTGCCTCAGGCCATAAAGTGCTTACCCATCCTTATTTTTTTTGGAGTAACCCAACAGAGAAAACACAAGGTATTATTATCCTTTTGGTAATTGTCCATCCTGAGCCTCTGTTTTCAATTAACACAATCTAACGATGTTTTACCTCACATGTTGGAACAGCTACCGAGCAAAACTTTCCTCATATCCTTCCACAGAGTTGGTTGGCAGCATCACTAGCGGCCATCTCAAACAGTAAACCTGTGGACAACAGCTTTTTTTAAAGGTCCCAAATTTTTTATTTTTCCGTTTTTCTTTTTTTGGTTAAGTTTTGATATCTGTAAAAATAATCTCCTCTCTTTCACTTCTCTCTGGAGAGCCACAAAAAGTTGATCAGCCAATCAGAAGAACCTCAGAGCTCCGTAGGGACAGCTGAGGGCAGAGGGCAGTGACTGTTTAATGACATCACAAAGTTAAGGAAGTCAAGATGACTCGTTTGAGAGAATAGTGTCTGAATTCGGGCTGTGTGCATTTCTCCATGGATTGAGTGTTTTGATACTTCCCCAATAATTATAAAGCACCTTTACTTTACACGGACATCTCACTTGATACAATACATGACCTTTTAACGTAAGTGGACGTGGCTCCTTCCTGTTATGAGAGAATAAATATCTTCAATGTTTTGCTAACACTTATGAATATAATGATGTTTAATGACCTAAATTCCAGTTCAGAGAATAAGGAATAGAAGACATGAGAATTACACACTGATGTGTCTGCAGGAATGCTTATCAATTAATCATAGTAACAGCTTGTGGTTAGGCAGCATCATGACATTTAGTCTCTGAGTCTATAAAGGGCAGTTAGTTGTGGTTTGCAATACGATTTTATCGTTTACCCAGACCTGCATGTTTTCAAAGTTCTTATCCACGGTGAACGAAATTTAAGATGTGACCATATATCTTAAACATTTAACCTTGTTTCCTTTGTTGAAATGAGCCAAACATTTATTTGTTATCCTCAAACGCAATCACATCTTATATATTTTTCTTGTGTTGATTTCTTTTATCATGTTCATTGTTGTGTTGTGAATATCTAAAAAAACAACCTGTCTGTGCCACATAGCTGCATGGACACATCTTCAAAGACGTGGCTGCCGCATCAGAGTCAGTTTGGGTTGGTTGGTCAAGCGGAGGTTTGCTGTGGCGGTCCTGGAGTTTTAACCCCAAGTGAGTCGGTTTAGCCCCGAATCTGTCAACGTTTCTCCACTGTCCGCTTTGCTCTCTCTTCCCAGCTTCTCCAGTCTGTCGTGGTCCAATGAGATTTTTTTTCTGTTGTATATGTTTTTATGTGTTGCCCCTTTAACACCCTGCTTTTTCTCGAAATCCATCGACACCACTGTCGCCAATGGTTAATGAAAATGTTTGACACGTACTTCAGCCTGTGCCACTCTGCTCCCTTTCCTCTGCTCTGGCTTTCCAGTCCTTTTCAGTCCTCTACAGCTTTACAAGTACCGTCGATATCATTTTTTTCACCCTCAGTCCTCCAGCGGAGCATCACTCGCCCTCTGAGCCCTGCTTTGTCACACACCCAGACTTTTATTTTGACATCCCCTAGGTTTGATAGCACCATTTGCCTTTCACTCCAGCTTTGATACTCTCCCAGTCTTCCTCCTCTCTGTGCCTTTTACTTCCCCCAGATGAAAAGAAGCCATTTCTGCTCCCTCCAGGGGCGGCAAGAGGAATCATTTTCTTGTTGGTTTGCGCAGCGTTTTGAGCATTTAGTCTGTTTTGTTTTTGAGCTGAAACAAACAAGAGGTGCTTTTATGCTGTTGGGGAAGTCTTGGTTGAAAATAACCTCGCTGTGAACTATGATGTGGTGACATAATACAGGAGCGCCTCAGTACAATCCAGTCATTGATAAGGGCCTCAAACTGCTGCTTGATCCCCAGATTTTCCCAGATTTCCATCCCTTTAATCTGGGTTTGCTCATTTACAGGCTCAGCAATAATGCTTATAAATACATTTATAAAAGTGAAGGTAGTTGGACGGAGAGCAGTGCACAAACTACAAACATGTTCCTATGGTAACTAGGCCACACTCCCCTTGGCTGGCTCACTCACAGGCAGAGCGAGAGGCAGGAGAGAGAAAGAAAAAATCTGTGATGGAGAGCAACTTCAGATTGTTTATTCAGGTTACTGTTCTTGTTCACATCGTATAGGGTGTTTTCATTTTTTTCGATAATTCTCTTGAACCTGAGAATATGTTACAAGTCACTCTGTTTCTTTTCCTCCAAAAATATCTGTCAGTTTTTCCGAGCTGATCGCAGGTTCTTTCCCGTGGCTCCCTCGCGCCCACGCTGCCCCTGATTCCTCAACCCCTCCACCTACCTCTGCTTTCAAATCCTGCAGCTCTACTCTTCTGTGCATCTTACATTTACTTGATTACAGGGCTGTTTCTAAACATAGCACCAGAGTGGCTCTGAATACAGTCACAAGCCTCACGTGTACTTATTTTTGCTCAACTTTTCCCAGCGCAAAGCCAACAGCCTATTTGCTGCATTTGAACATCTTGTAATTAAATCACTGGTAAGTTTTCAGCGCTATTTTCTTTCTAGTGTATGCATTATGTAGGATGCATAATTGAGTAAGTCTGAATAGATTATCTCCTCGATGTTTGCAGTCAAGAAGCAGTTTAACTGTAACAAACAACAGCTCTGATATTTATTCACCTTGCATTTGAAATCATACGGCATCGGAAGAGGGGAGTTTATTCCATTTGGCAGCAGACTCTCTGAGTGCGAGCAGTGCACATCTCTGTGTGCTCGGCATCGCCAATGC